GTCTCTGACCCAGGCTGTGACCCTAGCGCTGGTTCTGCTCACCTCGGCCGCTTCGGCAGAGGAGTACGACTACTACAGCTGGCAATCGGACAATTTCCACAATGGCCGCTTCTATGCCAAGCAGCCACAGTGTGTGGATATTCCAGCCGACCTGCGGCTCTGCTACAATGTGGGCTACAAAAAGATGCGCCTGCCAAACCTACTGGACCACGAGACCATGCCTGAGGTGAAGCAGCAGGCGGGCAGCTGGGTGCCCCTCCTGGCAAAGCGATGCCATGCTGACACGCAGGTGTTCCTCTGCTCCCTTTTCGCTCCAGTGTGCCTGGACCGGCCAATCTACCCCTGCCGGTCTCTGTGCGAGGCGGTGCGGGACAGCTGTGCTCCGGTCATGGAGACCTATGGCTTTCCCTGGCCGGAGATGCTGCAGTGCGAGAAATTTCCCATCGACAACGATCTGTGCATTCCTATGCAGTTCTCTGCAGGTCACGCCACTCAGACTCCAGGTAGGACCTACAAGAACATTGTATTAGTGATTCAGTTGTTATTGATTCATTCATTTAAAAGGCAGAAATGCATTCAAACAGGGGACATTTCACTAAATTTTGCATAAATAAGCAGGGGGGAAAAAAATCTATTTTTAACAGCATCACACTTATCCAGAAAGCAAATGTGCTAGTCTTTTTAATAAAACACAGAGATATACAAGTTATATATCTTACTTAAGCATTGTTTCTTAATGAAACATTTTTATGCACTATAAAAAGCATCAGTGCTTCATTCTTGCCAATTCCAAAGACTCCCCTTTTTGTTTAAAAAGAGGAAAAATTATAATTATTAAGTCTCCATAGATCTCTACAATAAGGCCCATTGGTGGATTTCCTCTTGCTCTATTTAGCCTGAGGCTCTTGAGAAAGTAAAATTAAGGAAAGCTCTTGAAAGGACAAAAAACTTTCACTATCTAAAGCAAACATCTCATGTGGAATGTGGAGAGGAGCGTTCCTGCTGCGCCATGCCTCTCTCTCTTTGTTTAATCGTGCATTTAGGTTTCCAATTAG